TAGTTGTGCAAGTCTGGAGTTGATAGTGGAGAACATCATGCATGATCTGAGGATTCTTTCCATAGGCAGCTGATGGAATCTGCCATCAGATGTCCAAGTGTGAAAAAACTACTCGATACAGTTTACCCATAACTATCTTCCAAAGTTTTCTAGGCTATATAGGTCCGAGATCAGTTCCAATAGCATGGTCCGAAACAAAATTTACAAAGAACACTTTAACTGAAATGATGTTTCATTCGAAGTTCGTGTGAACTCCATGTATGCACATCGTGCAGTTTTCGATTTTTCACGGATAGTCGATTGACAATTCAAAGTCACCACCATTGAAAATGAAGTCTCATATCCATTATTGCCTACTGACCATGAAGGGCATCGGTGTATCAGGAGATTTAAAAAAAAACACTTGACATACTTGATACTGAGCAACCTTTTGCTAGTGATAAAAAACCTTAGTCATGCTAGAAAATGTAGGTCACAAGGTCAGTCGACTTAGAGATTAGGTGGGGAACCAGTTGATCAGATCACCTACTACCTCAGTTGGTCAGTGTTCGTGTTGATTTGCAGTTTGTGTCGGTCACTATGTACTGGCAGCTGTTATGACCGACGGAATAGACAGACACTAACTTGAACGGTGCGATAAGCTTACTTGAAAATCACGCCGGCGTTAAGGAGAGGCTCAACTGAATCTCTGCTTCGGATACTGTTTAACTGAATTTGCTGCACAAAAGCAATTTCGTGTTTAGGCTGGCAACGTATCCGACGTATTGCAGTTCACTTTCTTGGCTGAAAACTACTCGTAAGTTTCCTGATAACTTTTTAGCAAACTTCGACCGGTTTTGCCCTTTGTATGTTTGATTTAACCACCAACCTGATGAATCTGAAGAAAGATGAAACTAGTAGGGGACTGTTGACTGCTTCTTCCTGCCTGTTACTTGGGAAGATTCTGCCTGAGTGTCAGTCACAAATTTAGTTCCTCTGGACGTGCTTTTGTCACTACAGATGGATAAGCAGGGGACACTGCACACACTGCATATATTTTACTTTAGATCACAAGCGAGAGACTCAGTTGAGCATCCCTTGATTATCATTTTTGACAGCAAAATAACAATGCCGGTAAAAGAAGCGGCTATTAGTAGATATCCAGTCAACCGATGTGGCATGAGTGTATTGTTTGCGTGCACTGAGCTACTTCCAGGGAGCCCAGACCTAGAAAGTAAGTCTAGGCTCCCCTACTAAAGCTTTTGGTTCAATGTTTCATAAAAAGGCAGTGGTGTTTGGTGGAAAATGCAATTGCACTACAATTTTCAAGGAACAGTTCCCCGAGCGTGTTCCAGCCTCCAACTTAGAGGACCAGGACACTGCTTCGGTCAGACCTCTAACCACTGACCAACCTGCTAAGAGAGACTCCTCGGATATCTCACGGACATCCCGCTGTATACCTGACTGGCTTACGGAGGCACACAAACTGTCAGACCATGGTTAGCTCCAGGCTCTTTGTGATGGACACCTACGTCACCGTGATTAGAAAATGAGTGCAGATCCAAACTAACTCTGTTGGGGACTCATTCTGGCTGTCGACCAAGCACCGCTATGTTTCAGTTCGGCCTAACTTCATATGCCTGCAAGCTCCGTACCCTCTATTCTGTACACAGTGGAGTGCTTGGTGATTTCCATCGCTTTGATCACCGGTGTCTGAGGTGCAAATCATAGTCCCCGCCTGAAAACCGCATTTCCAGGTCTATCATATACCTGTGTGTATGATGTGCCTGGCACTCACATATGCACAGTGATTGAGCAGCGCCTGATATTCTCCTGCAATCTTCGGTATTGACCAATCTCCCATTTTGACCACCACTTCTGGTGAATAGCACCCTGACCGTTTCTCCTACGTACCACTTGGTGCAGTGACTGAATTTAAGCCTATACACCAATATGGAATTCAATCGACTGGAACGCGATCCTTCAGGTTCACCACTATGATGTGTAGTCCTCTGCCTTTAGCTTCCGCTGAATAATTCCAGACATCTTACTTAAAACGGAAAGAATTCTGCGCCGATTCATTTCTGTTTAAGTCTGTGTACATCACCCCTTATTAGCTGTTTAGGTAAACTCGTTGGGTATTAACAATCTTGAAGCCTGTTTGTCACTTTGATTTAGTCTACCGCTAGATCAACCTCTTCTTTTTAGAGTACTCAGACTCTGATGAAACAGTTCTAGCATGCACTACTTGAGAATGGACTGAGCTTCAGTTCAAGAGAGCAACCGTTTTTCATTGGTCTGCGGTAAACAGTAGCTCTTTACTTCACCGCTACTCTTGTGAGTCATACAGTCCAGGAAATGTAGTGTACCGTTGCTCCATAGCAAACTTTATGTGAGGGTTTAAATTATTGATACCTTCACATAAATGGTCTGCCTTATTAGGTTTGATCACAAGAAAAGTGTCACTCACATGACATCAAAAAGCCGCCAATTGGAATTCACATCTTGCAAAGATGCTTTGCTTGAATTCTCTCATATAAATGTTCCATGAAATCGATGATATCGAAAGTTCCATTGCTAGAATTTGTTCTGGATTTTACACAACCGAGCGGAAAACATAGAGTATTCAGAGTGAAACGCTTTCTTGTCCTCGACTATTAGTCCACTGTGAGCTAGGTCTATCCTCGAAGTGTTGTGTATGCTAGTAAGAACTCTCCGGCTAGCTCCAGAGAATCCGCCTTGGGGAGGTTTGTATGCGTCGATTTAACATTGAAATTCACCGGAAACTTGTCAGTCTCCGAAGAAAACCCCTAAATTTTAGGCGAAAATTTTTGTAAATTCCAAATTTATGTGAACAGTTTCCCACTAAGTGGCTTGAGATAGCCCTCTAAAAAGGCACCTAGCTCGTGAGGAAGAGAACAGTTGTCTGTCTCCAAGAACTGCGGCAATCCATTAACCAGTAGCTGAATTGTACACTTGTTTATTACGGACTCCAATCTTACTGTAATTCATCAAGTACCTATTAGTGCCACTGTCAGCAGTTGTGTCAATAACGGTAGCCCGGGCGTGTTTACTGGCCGCTGACCGAGTGGTAGTCGATCAAGCTAGTCCAGTGCTATTGTTAAGGTCTATCGATTTGATATTGATTGACCTTTTGTAAATAGTCGCTGTAATCCATGAATTTTAGGTCTTACACTCTCAGTCTTCTCCGCAATGACGATAGCAGTCACCTGTGTATTTATTGCTCTACGGTGTAACGTACAATATTCGGAGCTCCGAGTGTTTGGAACTTTGGGACTGTGCCCAGAGGCTTTCGTAGCTTCATCGATTGCAAAACATGGATCGAATGCTAGGGCTAATTATTTAATCATTGAGACATTCAATCACTTCCCTCAATGGCAATAGACTTATTCGTCGGATGATCCACTTGACAAATTAATTACACTGGACTAAGTGGTAACTAGTAACGTTTTATATGTGACCTCACCAGACAAAGTATTTCAATCACCGAATCGCCAAACCTTGTTGTGTCGCACATATATGTTGGTGATAATCAAGATTGCGGTCTGCTGGTGAATACCAGTTAAGTGCTCGTAGGTTCGTTGGTTGATGAATGACTTGATGGCTACGAGACGCAAGCGAACAGAAGCCGTGGAAGTATCCGGTGGTCGATCAACATTCTGTTTTGAGCACCTCATATTGAATACACGATGGTTCTATTAGTTTTCCTGCAGTTTCGTTAAATGAACGTATTCCCTTGAGATTTTCCACACACAAGATTCGCACATTTGTTCACTAGACTTTTCCAGACAAGCAAGTGTCTACAGATTTTTTTCGGGAACGCTTTTGTCCATATGATTCTAAATGTACCGTATGTAAAATCAGATACATGCCTTATACTACTTATTGATCTCTGGTAGTCTGACGGGTCTACACCACTCGGTATTGCTGGTGTGTACAAAAGACGTGTCAAGCCATAGTCGTATGGAAACTACTCACAAGGTTGCTGAAAACTCCTCGACAGCCCACGACCGGTTTCGCCCCTCTTGGGACTTATCAGGTAGGCGCAGTCCCCGAGTTTCCTTCAACCTACTTGAACCCAAATCGGACCGATTACGACAAATACACTCATTGGCAAGTCAATTGGGTTTTCACCGGAGACTCAAGTGAATCTCTCGTTTAAGGTATTCTTCATATCGTTATATGGTATTATGTTTATCCCTGTTCCACTTGAAGTTTCCCATTCAAGTCCTGCACAAAAGCCTCACATTCAAATGTTAATTAGCCACAACTTATCACTTATACGAGCGAGAAGCTGTGATACTTCTATTCGTCAATAATTTCCGAACACAATCGACGGGAATTATTGATTGTCTCGGCGGTGGAATTATTACATAGCAGAAAGAGCTGCTGGAAATGATTTATCGCCCAAAACATGTAAATGGGTTAGCCTTCCAGCAGCGTGTCATCCGGCATATTTTGTACTATTGAGTAACTACGATTACTTATGCTTCGTTATCAAATGCCGGAAGGTGTAGGTCTAGGAAAACATGATTTTAAGCACACTCACCTTATAAAAAGATAAGTTCGCGCTGTGCTTCGCGTGAAAATTCACCAATCCAACAAAGCTGTTGCTGCCGAACAAAAGGCTAAAGCTTTGTGTTGTAGTGTTTCGTGTTTAAATGACCGTCATCATAAGCAAACAGAACACATTCACATGGATACATTCGTGTGTAACCTTGTTAAATCCAGGCACCCAGGTTAGAGTGAAGTAAACTACTCCAGGATGCGGAATTCCTCAGTAGGCTTATACCGATTCGGAGTGAATTAGACCTCCTATCGTGCAATCAACTCGATGGAGAAAGCGGACTTTGGATCCATGTTAGGAAGCTACAGACATTCCGGTGCTTGGAAACATAAAGCTGCGATTCGATTCATAGGAGACGCGCGTTACGCAGTCCAAGAGAGGAACTTATTTCAAGTGGTAAATAAATAGCATATGATGTTTCACACCCAAAAAGATGACACCCGCTGGTGGAATGAACGATCTAAGTTTGAAACCTAATGCCTTGAAGAAAATCTTAGCGAATCGTTTCATTCGTCTGGTACTTCCGCAACTGGCCGGCCAGTCCAGCATAACTATAAGCTGAAGGCTATTCAAGGTTGGAGCAAAGACTTGTACTACAAATCGTAAACGGTGAGAATAGATTCGGCGTTGGAAACCTCACTCGAATGCTCAACTCACATCTGCATAACTATAAGCTGAAGGCTATTCAAGGCTGGAACAAAGACTTGTACTACAAATCGTAAAAGGTGAGAATAGATCCGGCGTTGGAAACTTCACTCGAATGCTCAACTCACATCGACTAAAATATGCAGCTATGAATCAGGCTGGCGAAATTGTGACCAAATTAGGTTTCGCTTAGTACATCACAGCTCATCGTATGTTTGCTTCCGGCATGTTTACCTTTTCCTGTGGAAGCCCGTGTAAAGGAATGTGGCATACAGGAGAATAGTCAACGGCCTATATAACGACCGAGTTTCTAGGTATGATACACAGTAAGCTCACCATTGTTTACTGTAATCGGGTGTGTGGATGAGTAATATTATGGGATGTCCACTCCTGTTACTTCACGGCTTGCATTTTACGAGCATTGAGTGCAAACCGTAAGCCTGTGTTTATCGCAGTCATACTCTCTCCCTCGGTGTTTACACAATGGTGATGTTAATATGGAAACTTGAGATAGCTTCCAATCGGTAACTAGTGCAAATGATGACTGTTCTCCTTCCTCTGAATAAGCAAAACTGATGTGAGTCCAGATAACACTTGAGCGATATATTAGTTCGATGAGTTAATCGTATGCACGGCAAAATGCCTTTAACCAATGGCCACATGTGGGTTATCTGTACTACAGTATTTCAAACAAACAGAATTTTCAAAAACATTGAGCTCAAAAATGGGCGAGTGAAAAAACCCTTAATTCATACCCGATTTTGTTGGCGCCTGATGCTTCCATTATCGGGCTTACAGTGTAAAGCGCTGTTTGCCTTCAAAAGATTTAATAGTGAAGATTTAATAGTGCCACCTCATCAAAAGCTCATGAGTGATAGCTCGCGTTGCGCTGCTGAAGAAAGGGCTCCGATTTGCAGCGAGTATGCGCAATATCCATTTATCTTTGCTGAATGCTCATAAAGGCAGTTGATACAAACTAAGAGTCAATGGAACGGCGGCATTGGAATGCCTAAACGAACTACAGGATAAATCTCCATTGAATTTCGTGTTTGGCTCCGTGAAGTTTCAACGGAGTGGTAACGAAAGCAAAGCTGGTATAGGAGAAATAGGTTATAAGAGTTTCACAGTTACCACAAAGTTCTGTTTCCAATTTTGCTTCGAAATAGCAATCAATTTGGGATCGTCGTGAAAAAAGTTAAAGCTTTTCGTACAGTCTTGCTACTTTCGCGGTTTCCAGAAATCTACACGTACACATTCAAACCCATTTCCCGTGCAGTCGTTCGTTTTTGAGTAAATATGACTTGATTAGGTTGTGAAGAACGCATGAAAACGACGCAGTTAGTTCCTTCCAAATATCGAACAATTTCCTGTATCCGCGAAAACGCTCTGGGAGTGAACGTTGCGTTGAATAAGCAACTGACAAATTTGGTTGCAGATGTATCATCACCAACCGAGGTGAAATCAGGAATCCGTGTGTCTTGTTACGAAAGTGTGTGGACTTTGAGAGTGCAGTGTTTTTGTTCATACATGACTTGTCCACCCAGCAAAATTAACCTCCAGTTATTTGAACATTCAGCCTTGTTTTATGGGATAGTAGCCCAGCCCAGTAGTTAGTCGGTGTCTGGATGAAATAAGAAGATTCCTGGGTATTTCGGTTTCAAAAGCGTTTTCCTCAATCAAGCTAACTGTTTTGTCACCATAATTGAATTATAAAGTGCATCAAAATGTGTGGAATGCATGCATACAAGAACGTATGGCACCAACGCGCCTAAAAGGTCAACAAAGCGGTTTCTGTGATCGGCCATGTCGGTTCAGTACTGATTCTAGGGAACGAAAATATCTCCAAGGAATTGAATTTCATTCTCCCAATATACATCCATTCCAGATGTCATTCGTACAAGTCCGAAACGAAGGGTTTCCTCTTATATCTCAATGGGGCGTTTCAGTGTAGGATAACCTTACTAAATACCGTTTCGAATCATTCGCTCTCTGTTCCAAATAGATTAATTGTGACCTGCTAGGATCTAGATTGTGTCGTTTGTAGCTAGTTTCACGTGACCGTTATTGGTCAACACCCTCCTGAATGTTTACCGGAATCACTAACGCAAACAAACAAAGCTCTCTGTTTGGAAAAATTCGGCAAGCGTTGACCTACAATTTTACACCGTCAGATAGTGGGGCCAGTAATCGGCAGACTTTGGACTGGATTCAGACGGCCGCTGTCTGATGGTTACAAAGTATAGCTCGGTGCAGATTCTAAATCACCTGCTCTTACGATAATCATTCCCTTTCCTTGGAAAAGATACATCTCGATTGGGATTCGCTACAACTCCGAATTGCTTCGTCTCGTGAAATTACGTTCACTTATAGCTCGCATCTCCAATCTCCACATCGCATGAACGATAACGGAGCATTCAATTTCTTCCTCCTCTTCAGGAAGCGTTCCTACCTAAAATTCCCTCCTTCGTTTTCGAAAAATTTTGGTGACAATCGGTAGATTTATTGCTGGATGTTAACCGTTCTGATCGCAGTACACGGTTTGAGGTGGTCTATTCAACTGTAGGCCTTAGTGGAGTAGGGAGAAGTATTCCTCACACATGTTGATGAGTAGTATGTGAAGTCCCCCAGCTAGACACCGACTGCAGACATGCACACGAATATTCGCAATGTCCTTCTATCATCTTGATGCAATTCAAACAACCATGTCGGAAATTGCCAACTTCGGTGACATTAGAACTAGCACAATCACATCGTGTTATGCTGGTTCAGCCAGAGGAAGGCTCTGGTGATGGGCCCACACAATTCAACACATCAGTTCTCTCAAATTCCGTCCAGATGTTTTCTAGTGTATGCCTCAATCTCTTGGGACAAGCCAGATAGGTAGGAGTAAGTAATGCGCACCATTGCTCCAGTCATCCCCGATCCCGGGAGATGTCACGGTCGTGTGGCTATTGTTTAGCTGAAACTGGAGTAAGCAGGACGCCCGTAACCGTGATGGAATATCGAGCTTATCTGATTCGCACTGCTATTTCATTGCCAATCGAGATTTTCAGATAAGTCGGCCAGTGCCGGGTATGCACGTTCTCCAGCAATGCTTTTACCAACATGAATGCACACGGTTGTTCGATATGGACATCCGTTCATTTGCTTTGTGATAGCAGATCGGGAGAACATCTACCTGAACATCAAAACATACCTATTTCTTCTATGCGACACATGCTTCATGCATTGATCGGACCAGCAAAATGATCTTGCTCCACTCATATCATTTTGTACCAGTCATCCGCACACAGATGAAACAACTTGACCAGTGTGGTTGTGCAGCCGTGTGTCGTTTAATTATCGGGTCACGTTGGCTTCCTAATTTTCTCACCAGCATCTTTCCGGGTCCAGGCCAGCAGAATTTAAAATCTTTTCAGGGTCGTTTTTTATGACCGGCAATAATCATTAGAAAATCTGCGATAGTAACCCGAGTGATTCTTCTTTTCTTGTATTCAATGATTCTTTTGTTGTATTCGGAATTGTATGGAGGTAGTCCACTGCATCATCGGAACACTCCCAGATTCAGTTGGTGGCTACCCGGTGAAGACACATGAGGTAGTTCAAACATCGGATTTGCTTCTTCAGTCACGGATATGCAGCGTCCAACATTTAAGGGTAACGAACTGGAGAAAAATTGGCTGTAGATATAAAAGTGTCGTATGGGACGATTTTCAGGCTGGTGACATAGATTGTGCCAAGATCTCCTTGGCGACATATTTTGAAGCCCCACATTCTTATTGACATCACTCTGTGAAGTACCAGCAGTTTGCGGTTACAGTTGTGAAAGAATTTCAGGTGCTCCGTGACGTGTCATTGCCCCTTTGATCTTTGTAATGTTTTCGTCGGTTAACGACATGCGAGTTTCGAACTTCGGTTGTGGGCTTTCGGGGATTTTCCGATAACCTTATGTGTAGTGTTTTCCGTTATCATGAAACGATGGGATTTCTGCTAGCCATCGATGTGATTTGAGATGGAAGTGTCAGGACGCGCCCAGATGTGAAAAAAGCACATGTGCAGAGAGTGACGCATCCCCAAGGTCACCATCCGTACGACACGTCCGGAAAGTAGGTGAGTTGGCGGCTCTCACCAAACACGACCAGCGTAGTGGGACCGGAACACCACCATTGGTTGTTCAGAACGAACAAGTGAAAGACCATGTTTGGCCATTTAGTCATTCTATATATTTGCGCAGAAGCTCTGTTTGTTTTGCCCTGACAATACAGCCGTGTCCGCAGTTCCGCTGTTCCCCGGCCTCTCCTCGTCGGTTAGTCGGGCAAGCTCAGTGCAGGCGTAACCAATAGACGGCCACCTACGATACAACAGGAAGCATGTTACATACCAGTGTGCAAAGATTATTCTCGGCAAAACATAGAGAATCCCAAATATCTAATGTTGAAGACGTAATTGCACTTATTTCAGGCCTCTTTTGTTTCGTGTGGCTTTTGGTTACAAGTATAGCTTTGGTCTGTGAGAGGGAAGCCTTACTATTACACTTGATGTGCTGGAGTGATTGATGAGGTAGAAAGGTACTCTCACTACTAAAAGAAATGTAGACTCCCTTGCCTCTGAGGGGATCTAAAACACCTCGCCAAAGTGGTTCGCAGTTCAAACAAACTTGCCGTGGAAATCAAACGACATAACTGACATGCATGCAGATTGTGAGCGACATTTTAGCTTTGCCTAACAACACAAAGTATACCATTGAGAAATCTACAGAGCCGGTTAAATAATTAACGCTGGTCGTGAAAGTCAGAGCGCCAATCACCTTCCTCCTCATGGTTAATTATTGCGAGATTTCCACTAAATATCGTAAATGTTCAGGCATAACATACGGTAGACGGAAACTCGGGGACTATGGCTGATGAGTCCCTCAGTTGTGGGCTTCAAATAATTTTCAATAACCTTGTGAGCATTGCTTAAATTCTAGAGTAAACGTAATTAACCCTGGAATAATTTTTGGCGTTGTTTTGCGTACACACCATCCGTTCTGCTCTAAATCTGGGGATTCTTCACGCCTGATTATAAGATAGTCAACTGGGGTTCGAATATAGTCACTGACACTCACTTTTGTGTCCAAATGCTCCATCTCTTATCCAAATTGCATTTTGTGATGCATGGATGCAATCGGCTCTTTTGATTGCTTTGTTGTTGGGACTTCAGAGTGGAATTTGAGGGTTTGGAATGCTAGTTGAGCATCTTCAAGCAGACTGACAAGAATGTGCATTTCAATTCGCTTGGTGCGACAAAGTTTATCAATAGCCTTTGGGCTTTTGAAGAAGAAGCTACCAGTGTAACGGTGGGTGCTACTGATGAATCAGGTGAACAGTATGTGGTTTTCTCGTAAATCCGCCTCGCTTCTACTGAAAAGTGAGATTTATTACGGAATTTGTGGAATCGCTTTTTATCATTCGTTTACGTTTGAGCGCTAGTCAATTAGTATCCAGGAAAGTTCAGGAAACCACGTTCGAGAAGAAGACCGATACACAGTTTTTAAAAACCAGATGTATATGAGAGATTTCCTTCCCTGTCCAACAGTCTGTAATTGTTCAGCTGGTGGTTTCCAATAAACAAGGCCACAATGAACGCCTTCCCTCTTTCACTAGCATAACACAACTTGGTTCCACACCATGTGGACGTCAGAAAGAGGCTAAGCACGGGTAGTCTAAAACCTGTTATGCTTCAATGGAAGAAACTATTCATAAGTTTGCCAAAACTTTCCGACACCCCACAACCAGTTTCATGCTTCGTGCAGCTCATCAGATAGGTGTGGTCCCGAGTTTCCGGCATTCGTTCGTTTCACCTGCACCCAAATTGAGCGAAAGTCGACAAAAAGGGTGAAACCAAGGATGGAATTTGAAGAGTTTTCAGCAACCTTAATGGAGAGTTTTTCTTCATAAAAATATACTGCGATATCCTGAATAGCGTACCAACTGGAACATCAGGCGGTGTTTGGGCAAAACATCCAGCCGAAAAATATCATTAACCAGGGATTCAGCTAATGGGCCTCCCGTGGAGATCAAGTTAGCGTGTTATGCTTTACAGCACTCTGTTCACCCGTCAGTAGTGAGTGTCGATACGGACAGATCCCACCATAACTTTTGCAGTGCGGTTGAAATCAACACCCCTCGTTTATCACCACTACGGATAATGACATCTGTTTGAAACAACAAAATGCGATTTGTGGGTTTCAAATATAGATGAACAGCGAAACAGCAACACTTAAACATCAGACTGAAAGACTTATTCACTATTCTGCGGAGGGTAGCATGAGAGAACGACTTCCGTTTATCTTGTGAATATCTTCAAGTGGCTTTTGCCCTGCTGATTCCCAATTATTTCGGTTTAGTTCCCCTATTAGTTTTCAAGTTCTCCTGGAGCATTAAATAAATATTCCAGTATCATTTCTACATAAGTGAGTAGTCTATGGTCTGGTGTCCAAGCTCCGTTTCCGAATCTGATGACAGTTGAAGTTTTTTTAAGAAAATTGTGGGACCGATTTGCACTGTTCGTTTACTGCTGTGTAATAGTCAATGAATTTTCAGAAAAGTTCAAGAGTATCAGTGAGAATGTTCAGTTTTTAAATACCATGTTTACTTTCCTGTCTAATTATTGACTTTTAACGGACCGGAAATTCTGCCATTAGAAGCTGACTGTCTGGGCTTGGGCAAACTGATAGTATCCCGTCCCTCATGTCTCCTCCCATTCTCATGACAGCTACATCTGAATGATGGATCGATCAGTTTAGAACATTTTACTTCTACGATGCCCTCCCTCACCAAGTGATCTTCCCTCGCAAACCAGGAATATTGCTCCTTCGGGGAAATAAATCCAGGTGGCGAGGGAACTGACCAGTTGACCCAAATTTAATCTGTTTATGGGTGCCCCTTACCACATCCCGGGTAGCTCATTGTAACAATTATACGGGAAGTCAGGTCTGCACGTGCAACCACAAGACAATTTAAATTTGCTGACTTCAGGATTCCGCGCCGATTCACCAACCAATGGCTATAGTTCTATTATGAAGGCAATATTTGCTTCAGCATTATGTCCAAAAGCATCCTGCGCTTGTCGTATAGTTGTGGTGAGTATGGAACTACTTCCCAGTCAGCATAAAGAAAAAGACCTAATCAGATCCCCGTTCAACGGACGTCTAAATCTTTGCCATCATATCAGCAGGTCAGATTGCACAGATGGCTGACGTCGTGTTTGCTGAATTGGGTAGTTTGGTTGCAGACTTCTCGCCATCGCCACAGGTGGCATCACTAGTGCGTAATAAGTTATCACTGAGAAGTAGTGCATTTTTGTGTTGGCACCTGAGCCGTTCTGTGGTTGTGCTCACATTTGCCTTGTTGACCCCATCGTGTGTGGACTGTTCCGAAGCAAGCCTATGGTGTTCTCTTTGGCAAGTTAATGACTGCTTGATATGAATGGGGCAGTGACGTCAGACTGCAGCACAATTTCGTCATCCCTCATTTGATTATTCCGTAGACCAGAAACTTTCAAGCATTACTTTCTGTGAGGCATGGTGGTGATACAACTAATCGGATTCGATCGATTCCTTGTGCAAATTCGGCGGTCAGTAAAACTGGAGGATGCTGTTGTCATCCACTTTCATTTTCCATCGCATCTGAATGGTTATTTCTAAAAAAAATGTCCTGTAAATGTGGCTGACCAATGTTGAAGTGAAGTTCTGATCGATCAATCCATAGGTTTTCGTAGAGCTCAGTAGCCAGTTCACTTCCCGCTCGACACCACTGTGTTTTGTATTCTGTCCGCTGATAGTGTAACGAATCATTTTTCAGCAGGTTTCCGGTTAGAAGAATTGATTAGAGGATCATTTTTGGCTCTATTATGTTTCTTCTAGATAGACGACTGAATCAACCGTCATTGTTGGTGGGTCCGTTGTTCTTCGCAGGCATCCAAATTTCGGTTTCAGAGGGTAGTTAGGTTCAGCCAGGTACCGTCGGCTCGTGGCAGTAAGACAGCTTGTTCTGCTTCGGTTTGTGCTTTTATTACTTTATTGATCGGTCGTAATCATGTGTTGGTCATCTGAAGTGGTGCCGTTAGGCGGAAAACACTTGCTTAGAAAACACTTGCTTGTAAACCCCAGAATAGCTGCAACTAGAAACTTTCTAAGGTGATCCATATCATCGTTAGGTAGTAACATTCGTCATCCAAGAAATCTCAGTTCCAACTTCTAACATCATGACATGAATAACGGATGAATAAAGGTATATATCTTCTTAAAGGAAACTGCACACAAGGTTGCTGAAAACTCTTCGACAGCCCATGATCAGTTTCGCCCTTCTTGGAGCTCATCAGGTAGGCGCAGTCCCCGAGTTTAAGTCAACCTTATGTTCTACTTGAACCCAACCTGGACTGTTTTCGAGAAATGTACTCGTTTGCAAATCAATTTGGTTTTCACGAGAGGCTCAAGTGAATCTCTCGTTTATGATATTCTCCAACTGAATGTGCTACACATAGACAGCCTCATGTTTCAGCTGGCACAATATTCGAGATATCGCAGTATATTTTCATAAAGGAAACTACTCGCAAGGGTGCTGAAAAGATATATATCCACTAAAACAAGTTAGTCTATAGAGAAAATCATTGTGGGAGTTCAACAGCTGTCAGACCGGGCAACTCCCATACTGACGATTTGCTTTCGCGGTTAAAGCCGTTTATAAAGAAACAACCAGGCTTAACTTAGTGTGATGAACAGAGTTTAGGATTTTTGTGTGAGGGAGAACGCTTAAAGGTTAGTTCGCATGAATATTTAAAAGTCTTCCACATGCACAGTTAGCAAAAACAAAGAAACTGGCTTAATTACGAGAGTAGTCGGGCCGACGAGTTTATTTAGCCACATTGCAGTGATCATTGAAACTTCGGGATCAGTCAGGCTGTATAAAGATGCTGAGCCAATAAATGAGGCTCCAAGATGCGAGATTTCCTAATGTAGATGAATTCTGCCGAAATTACGTGAACCTTGGGCTTCACAAAAGTAGGGCTTCAAGCGACATTTTGACGCCTGGAAGGAAGGAGAATTCCAGGTATTTGACAGCATTTGGAGCACCACTTGGGCGATTTTGCTGGCTATTCCTGCCACACACACTCGATCTGTCCGGTGGAATATCCGAGGTAGACTCATCCAAACTCTCGATAAGCTATCTGGCACCATCTGCCTACCTGTCAATATGCTCGCATCCGGAAACCAACTGAGAGATCACGACCGAGATTCAGAGCAAATATTTGCTGTGTGCTGAGCGATACCTACGCCCAAGTCGTGAACATGTTGAAAATCGTCCGGCGTATATTATTTCCGATCAAAATTCGCTCAGAAATGACAGCCTGCAGACTCAGAGAGAACCAGGGCCAGCTTCCGAGCTCGTGGTGAGATTGAACTGGATGGTTACTCACATCTGGACGATCTCGTGGATCTGATCCAAAAATTGAGAGATAAGGGGAATCCTTGGTGATGAGGTGAACTTTATCCTACTGGCCCGGACCCTTAAAGATGCTGGTGAGAAAATTGGGAAGCCAACGCGACGAGACAGTGGAACGACACAGGGCTATGCAACCACACTGGTCGAATTGTCTTATCCGTGTGCAGACGATTGGTACCAACGTGAACTAGTACATTCACCCGGCGGAGGATATGAATGGAGCAAGATCATTTTGCTGGTCCGATCAATGCATGAAGCATGTGTCGCATAGAAGAAATAGGTATGTTTTGATGTTCAGGTAGATGTTCTCCCGATCTGCTATCACAAAGCAAATGAACGGATGTCCATATCGAACAACCGTGTGCATTCATGTTGGTAAAAGCATTGCTGGAGAACGTGCATACCCGGCACTGGCCGACTTATCTGAAAATCTCGATTGGCAATGAAATAGCAGTGCGAATCAGATAAGCTCGATATTCCATCACGGTTACGGGCGTCCTGCTTACTCCAGTTTCAGCTAAACAATAGCCACACGACCGTGACATCTCCCGGGATCGGGGATGACTGGAGCAATGGTGCGCATTACTTACTCCTACCTATCTGGCTTGTCCCAAGAGATTGAGGCATACACTAGAAAACATCTGGACGGAATTTGAGAGAACTGATGTGTTGAATTGTGTGGGCCCATCACCAGAGCCTT